ACACACACACACACACACACACACACACACACACACACACACACACACACACACACACACTCCTCTGCTTCAGGGGAGTCTGTTAAAAATACAGATTCCAGGGCTAGGAAGGTGGCTCAGTGGTAGAGCGCTTGCCTTGCATACATGAGGCCCTGGGTTCGTTTCCTCAGCACCATATAAAAAGGAAAAAAAAGTCAGAAGTGGTGCTGTGGCTCAAGTGGTAGAATGCTAGCCTTGAGCTGAAGAGCTGAAGGACAGTGCCAGACCCAGAGTTCAGGCCCCACAACCAGACCTCCCAAAAATACAGATTCGAGGGTCCTATCCTTAGAGATTCTGATTTAATATTTCTAAAGTGTTTAATAATCTATAATTACCACAAGTGCCCCAAGATAGAGTTCTTTCCAATATAAGAAGCTCTTTGTAACATTAAAACATGCCCACAACACAACCCTCAACACCAAAGTATCTGTGTACTTAATATTCAATGATTGCAAAGAGCTAGTATAAATCTAGTTTCATTTACAAATGAAATTACACTTCTATTACTTCAACAGGAGTAACAGGCACTTAAAAAATGGTAGCGCACCATATGTAAAATGCTTTTTGGGGGGAAGTGGAGCTGTGGCTTAAGTGGTAGAGTGCTAGCCTTGAGCAAAAAAGACGAGCACAGGCCCAGAATTCAAGCCTCAGGAAAAAAGAAAAGAAAAGCTTAGGGCCAATAGTCAGGCCCTGAGTTCAAGTCCCAGGAATTGCACCCCCCAAAAAGAGAGAGAGAGAGAGAGAGACTCCTTTTTCAACCTAGCAACAACATTAACAGGTATCTAATGGGCCTCATATGCCTCATGCAGTGCTTGGTTCACAGAGCAGTCAGTCTGCTAAACTACCCCTTTGGCCAAGAGACTGGAAGCCACCACCTTAGATGGCTTAGAGGCTGAGTCATAAAGGCAGAGGAAGACCAATGTTTCACTGTCAGCAGGGGCAATGGCTTTAACTATATATACATCAGTTTCCTTATCTGTAAAATGGAGGAAATGAGAACCTACCTTATAAGGTTGTTAAAACAAATAAATGTGATAATAGATGTAACAGTTTACTACAACGCCTGGCACATAGTCAGAACTCAAGAAATACAAAGTTTTTTCTTTTCTTTTTTTTTTTTTTTGTGCCAGTCCTTGGGCTTGAATTCAGGGCCTGGGGATTGTCTCCACTACACTTAAGCTACTGTTCTACTTCTGGCTTTGACCCACAATCCTCAGATCTCGGTTTCCTGAGTAGCTAGGATTATAGGTGTGCGCTTCTGGTGCTTGGCATAAAGTTTTATTTCCAAAAAAAGCAACTACCACTACTACTGGAATCGAAGGATTGATAAGCACGGACGAAGAAGTACATATTCATCACTTTGACAACACAGGAGATTCAAATGTTCCCTTCTCAAAGAAGACTTCCCTATCATATCTGAAAGAGTTCTCCTGCATTAGCCATATCTGTCTCCTTACTGGGTTTTGATTTTCTAACCAGCCTCAGGACTATTTGGCTTTCTTTAACTCATATGCATTGCAAGCACCTTAAGGGCAAGGCAATTCACTGCTTAGTTTGCCACTGTACACTCATTTTTAGTGTTCAACCTGTGGAAGATATTTGATAGTTTTTGCTATTTCCACTTTCTTCCTAATTCCTTTAATAAGTCGAGTTTGAGAAGCTCATTACAGACAAATGCTCATTCCAGTTGCTTATTTTTTTTGGTGTAATTGTTTTTGGTTTTCCTATGTAGCCCAGAAGGCCTCATACACATGATACTCTTAACTCAGTCTCCAGAGTACTGGGATTACAGTTGTGTAATGGTGTCTGGTTCCTAAGCTGACCATTCTTAAGTCTCTTAAGAGAGAAGCCTGCTAGTTAACTATAAAACCCACCTATACAGAATTGGTACTACACAGGGATCATGTGGTAGTAAACATGCTTTTATCAGAGACAAGTACACTTTTTGAAGCATACTTTTTATCAGAAACAGGGAGTAAAAAGAGCACTAGCTATGGGCAGATGGATTCACTTAACAGCATCTTACTTAATCCTCATAGCAACCTTATAAGGAAGGTAGTATATTTCCCCTTCAAAGATAGGAAACTGATTATACCGTTAGCAAGGAGGGAGAACATTAGGATAAAGCTTGACTCCAAATTTGTGGCTCTTCTCTAACAGTAGCTACTGCCTCCAAATCCCCATTACCCAAACTCTCCAGTACATCACTCATACATACTTCTCTCGTTGTTGCTGAAAGCCCCTCGTAGGGAACCACCCAGCCTCACTTCTCCATCCTGCAGGTCTTCGAGCAGGAGGTCCTTCACGGGGATTGGTTGCCGGTACAACTGGTAGCAGAGCTGTTCATTGTGGGTTACAGCTCGAGTGATCACAAGCACTTCTTGGAACAAGAAAACATGTAGTTTCTAGAAAGAAAAACACCCACATGATTTCCTTAAACAATAAGCTAATACCTGGTGGATTTGTGGACCTCTGTGATATGAGGGCCACATAAAACAGGTTCACAGTGTCTTATGAATTTATGCTCAAATCCATGTCTAGGAAAACAGAAACTGGGCATGTGGGAACCATTTCCAGACACACACACACACACACACTGTGTGTGTGTGTGTGTGTGTGTGTGTGTGTCTGTGTGATATACTTCCCAATAAACTCCTTCTTGGCACCCAGAGAGAAAGCCTTTCTAGCTAGGTGCTGGCAGTTCACGCCTGTAATCCTAGCTACTCAGGAGGCTGAGGATCATGGTTCAAAGCCAGCTCAGGCTGAAAAGTGAGATTCTTATCCTCAATCAACCAGTAGAAAGCGAGAAGTGGAAGTGTGGCTTAAGTAACAGAGGGCTAGCCTTGAACTGAAAAGCCAAGATAGAATGCAAAGTCTTGAATTCAAACCTAAGTATTGGCACACTCACACACAAAAAAGCCTTTCTTTTCACAAATAACTATAGCTAGGGCTATCAACTCTGAATATTATACTTATAGTGCAATTCACAATCTAGGCAGACACATGGCCTCCAAGTCAACTAAGAGAAAAAAGGGAATCAAATAAAGGGAATATAAAGAGGGAAAAATTAGCCTGGCTTTGCTGTATATACTTGATACTCTATGAGATCAGAATTAGCAATAGGCTGTAAAGGAAGAAGGTGTATAACAAAGCCTAATATTAATTTTTGCTTCCCAAACTCTTAAAACACTTGTTCTTTGAACCGCAGAGCGGATCATCAGTTTCATCTTGTAATTCCAGCAGGGAAGGATCAGAGCATGTTGCAGCAGCCATAGAAAAGATCCAAGTTTTCTTCTTAGTAAATTCATTAGCACTTCATGTTTTCTGAAAAAATCATGCTTCAAAGGTGGATTAATAAACCAGGCTCTGGGGGCTCACACCTGTAATCCTAGCTACTCAGGAGGCTGAGATCTGAGTATCACGGTTCAAAGCCAGCCCAGGCAGAAAAGTCTGTGGGACTTTTTTTTTTTTTTGGTCCGGTCGTGGGGCCTGAACTCTGGGCCTGGGTGCTGTCCCTCAGCTCTTCAGCTCAAGGGGAGCACTCTACCACTGAGCCACCTTCCCAGCCCCAAGTCTGTGGGACTTTTATCTCCAATAAGACCACCAGAAAACTGGACCAAATCCTCCCCAAATAAAACCTCAAAACAAGAGCTGGGGATGTGGTTTAGTGGTAGAACACCTGCCTAGTATATGAAAGAGCTTGGTGAGATTTCCAGCAACACAAAAGAAGATAAAAAGACAGGGAAATAATAAAACAAAAAAGAGTTGAGCTAAAGGCTATTTTTAGAGTGATGATAACGCAAAGAATATATTTAAGATGTTCTTTGCTGGAGGCCACACTGTGATTTAATGTACTTAAAAGAATTTTAGAATTGTGTTTGCAGCCGCCGCCGCGCCAGCGCCGCTTCTCGTTCGCCGAGCTCCAGCAGAAGAAGGGGGGGTTGAGGCCGCTCCGCCATGGCTCACACCAAGCCGACCGCCCGCAAGTCCACCGTGGGCAAGGGCCCCCGGCGCAAGAGCGTGCCCTCCACCGGAGGGGTGAAGAAGCCGCCCCGCTACAGGCCTGGTACTGTGGCGCTCCGTGAAATGAGACGCTACCAGAAGTGCACAGAACTTCTGATTCCTTCCCAGCGTCTGGTGAGACATTGCTCAGGACTTCAAAAGAGATCTGTGCTTCCAGAGCGCAGCTGTTGGTGCTTTGCAGGAGGCGAGTGAGGCCTATCTCGTTGGCCTTTCTGAAGATACCAGTCTGTGTGCTATCCATGCCAAACGTGTGACAATTAGGCCAAAAGATAGCCAGCTAGCACGCCACTTAAGAGTCCACTAAAATGGGAGGCATTTAATTCTCAAAGTCCCCCCCCCCACCTCCTTTCCTTGTTATCAGTAGTTCTGAATGTTACATTTTTTCCCCATGGGGTCAAAAGGTACCTAAGTATATGATTGCCAGTGGAAAAATAGGGAACAGAAATCAGGTATTGGCAGTTTTTCCATTTTCATTTGTGTATGAATTTTTAATATAACTGTGGGGACATAAAGCATTAATGCAAGTCAAAATGTTTCAGCAGTTCAACTTTATAACAATTAAAATCTGTTAAATTTTTCTGGACAATGCTAGCATTTGGATTTTTTAAAAAAATAAGTAAATTTCTTATTGATGGCAAAAAAAAAAAAAGAATTTTACATTGCTACTTCCTCAGTCAGCCTTTCAGCTGAGCACAGATTGTTCAGCTTGTCTGAACAATCTTTAAAAAATATCCTTAACTGGATGCTGGAGGCTGACATCTGAGGGCTGCAGTTCAAAGCCAGCCCATGCAGGAAAATCTGTAAGACTCATCTCCAATTAGCTACCAAAAAGCTGGAAGTGGAGCTGCAGCTCAGGTGGTAGAGTGCTAGCTTGTGCAAAAAAAGTTCAGGGACAATACCCAGGCCCTAAATTCAAGCCCCAAGGTTAGCATACACACAGAAATATATTTCTGTATCTATATCATATATATAATTATATATAACTGTATCCCTCATTTATAGATGCTCACTGAAAATATCTCTTATTTCAACTCAGATCTTTATGCCCTTAAACTATTCCACCTTGTTTTTGTTTTTCTAATCTAGGACTTCATTCACAATGATCTTTACAACTCTATTAGGGGCAAAAACCAATCGACCTCCCAGCCCAATTGCTATCTTTGATCTCAAAACTATATGTTTATAGCATGAACTAGATTTCATATTAATGCCCAAGACATGTAAATTAGACAGTCCTCAGCTCTTGATATATAAAAGAGACCCCTCGAACCCCAAGTGTTTCTTCCTGTTTCCCATAGGTTTTCCTAGAAAGAGCCTTCAGGGAGAGAGTGTCAGGTTACAGAAGTCATTCCCTCTTTCCTCCCTGGTTCTTTCAGGCCATGAGTAAATCCATATCTAATAGGTTTCACTGGTCCCACAGTACCACTGCCTGGTTGGATCCACCGCAGCCCTGATAATAAGCTATGTATGTAGTCACTGATATCAAGGAACTTTTCCAAGCATACTCAGTGACAATCTAAAAGGTGTCCCTTGAATGATCAAAGGTAATCGATCTCTTCTAGAATGAAGACTTCTGTTTTGAAATTAATTAGTTATTTTGGGGTGATACTGGGTTTTTTAACTGACAGCTTTGAACTGATAGACAGGTACTCTCCTACTTGAACCATATGTCTAGTTCTTTATTTTCTATTTAGCATATCTGTATCATTTGAATCTGTCTATTGATCAACCAATCAGTCAATCAGTAGTACTGGAGTTTAAACTCAGCAACTCCCACTTGTGCCATATTTCTAGCCCTACCTAGATTGAGAAAGTATTGTGTGTGTGTGTGTGTGTGTGTGTGTATTTGTTTGTTTCTGGCGGATGGAGGGGGAGTTACTGGGGCCTCACTAGGCAGGCGTTCTACTGTTGAGTCATGCTTATAGGTTCTGTAACATACACTGATTATTCTTCAGATAGGGTCTCACTTCCTGCCTGGGTATATTTATGGACTGTAATCCTATTTTTTTGCTTCCGTAGCTCAGATTACAGGCATATACCACCACAACCAAATTCTTACAGTAAGATGGAGGCTCATGGACTTTTTTCAGCCAGTGATTTATTTCTGCCAATTAAGAAGGGGTCTTTTGAGCCAGGCGCTAGTGGCTCGTGCCTGTAATTTTAGCTACTCAGGAAGCTGAGTTCTGAGAATAGCAGTTCAAAGTCAGCCTGAGCAGAAAAGGCCGTGAGACTTATCTCCAATTAACCCCTAGAAAACAGGAAGTGGAGCTGTGGCTCAAAGTGGCAGAGTGCTATCCTTGAGCAAAAGAGCTCAGGGACAGCACCTACTACCACCACCACCAACAAAAGGGGGTCTCTGCACATTGTTTTTGTCTGGGCTGGCTCCTACCAAATAGGATTACAGGTGTGAGCAATTGGTAGCTAGCTTGTGATGAGTTCTTAATTAAGAGTTCTTGGCTTTCATTCTAGAGGTTGGCTAGATGCTGAAAACAAAACATAATGAAAGGGCTGGGAAGTTGGCTCAGTGGTAGAGCGCTTGCCTTGCAGGCCCGAGGCCCTGGGTTCGATTCCTCTCAGCACCCCATAAGCAAAAAGAAATAAAGCCGGAAGTGGTGCTGTGGCTCAAGTGGTAGAGCGCTAGCCTTGAGCTGAAGAGCTGAGGGACAGTGCCCAGGCCCAGAGTTCAGGCCCCACAACCGGACCCAAAACAGAACCAAAAAACATAATGAAAATAGAGACCTTTTTTCTTTATGGCTATCTCAACACAGAAACTTAAAAGTAATAATAATAAACACACACAATAGCTTGGTGAAGTGAATGAGTTTTTAAGTCTCATATAATTCAACTCTATCCTATAAGCAAGTGTGCATTTGTTTAGTGCCCAGTATGTTATAGGTTCTCAACAATGACGAAACACAGGCCTCATTTAAAAAGCACATGGTATAATGACAGATACTCACAGAATTATAATACAATTAGTGAATAATTATAAACAATTAGTAAGTGCTTCAGAGGAGATCTGTACATGTTACTAGAAGATAGATGATTATTTAAACAACAAAACCCCCCAATAATATAAAAACATGGGTTACTCAGTTGCCAGCAAGAAGAGTTTCTGATGTAGCTAAATACATTCAATTTAAAAGCTGTTTTTCCAAGAGTAATTCTTTAAAAATCCTGTAAAAATTACCCTTTCTTTTCTGACATCAAACTTGAACACGTAACTTAGACGTAACATGTGATAAGGTGTGCCTGTAGTCCTACCTACTGGGGAAGCTGAGGTAGGATTGCTGGAGGGTAGGAGTTAGAGGCCAGTCTGGGCTACAGAAGATCTCTTCTTAGGTATAATAATAATAATAATAGAAGGGGTAATATTAACTGTTATATATTTATTTTTGAAGGTTGTGGTCTAACAAATAAAAATTTGGTAAGCTTATGCTGGTTTCCAAAATTTTTTCTGAATATACATTAGCCCATGATAATAAAATATTTTAAAAGTTGTATAGAGGCATGGCTCAAGTGATAGTGTACCTGCTTAGCAAGCACAAGGCCCTGAGTTCAAACCCAGGACCACCAAAAAAAAAAAAGAAAAATTAAAGAAGAATATATATGTATCTATATTTCTATGATGTGAAAACAAACACCTGGAAGATCTATGATGAGCTGGTGGCTCACACCTGTAAACCTAGCTACTCAAGAGGCTGAGATCTGAGGATCATCAGCCTGGGCAAGAAAATCAATGAGATCCTTATTTTCAATCAACCACCAAAAAGTGAGAAAAGGAGCTCTGGCTCAAGTGGTAAAGTGCTAGCCTTGATTAGGAATTGGGGAGGCCCCAAACAAGATCTCAGGAGAGTAAGTACTTACCACACCCCGGTTGTTCTTCAGTTCACCATGACAACACAGGACCCTTGAACAGTCAATCAGGGAGTCTTTCTGGCCTTCTTCCAAGTAAAGAAGCCGCTCTTTATAATAACGACATTCAGATTCCCCAGTTTTGATGTTGATTTCTGCGACAATTCCCTGGATGATATTTATCTATAGAAATGAAGAGGAGGACTTATGAGGAAAGTAAGTAAATCATCCACAGGGCTAGCCTACGAGTCACCAAGACACAGCACGTCTAATGCTGAGTTTCTAATATTGGGAGTTCTGCTTTGGGGAAAGTGAAAAGAATTCTTTCTCTTAATAAAAATTATTTTCATATGTATATGTGTGTATATATATAAATATACCTACATATATTGATATAAATATATATACATACACACATATATCTATTTATATGTATACAGCTTTATATGAAAAAATTTCACTTCATAGAATCATAAAAAGTTCTGTGCAGGAGTTGGCTTGCCTAGCCTACATATGCACATATATTTATACACATATCCAAGTATAGAACTACTGATAATTTTATCTGAAGGGAAGAGATAAAAGATAATCTTTGATATTGAAGGCATGGTGGTATATGCCTGTTACCCTAGCACTTGGGAGACTGAGATAAGAAGATCAAGAGTTAAAAGGCCTGTCTGCACTATGTAGTAGATTCCAGACCAGCTTATACTACATGTCTCAAATAATGACCAAAGATTCCTGTACAACATGGGCCAAGGAAAGAAAACGGCAGAATGAAGAAATACAAAAGAGGAGGTCATTTTGGGGACTTGAAAGCTACTTTCAAAGTCTCTCTATAGGTACCCCAATCTATTATAAAACAATGTTTGCAAACTACTGTGAATATGCCTTGGATAAAAACAGGGACAAGGGCTGGGAAGGTGGCTCAGTGGCAGAGCGCTTGCCTTGCATGCATGAGGCCCTGGGTTCGATTCCTCAGCACCACATAAGAAAAAAGAAAAAAGCCGGAAGTGGCGCTGTGGCTCAAGTGGTAGAGCGTTAGCCTTGAGCTGAAGAGCTGAGGGACAGTGCCCAGGTCCAGTGTTCAGGCCCCACGATTGGACCCCCCAAAAAAACAAAAAAGCAACAAAAAAAAACTAGGGACAATATGTACATATACATTTTCATTCACGTCTATAGCATATACAAGTGAGTTAGATTCAAAGTGGTATAATCAAAACAAAAAGCAAAACAATCTAGATGTGATCAGTGGTCATATTTTGATGTGTTAACTTTATCAAGATAACATGTCTAAATGTTAGATACTGTTAGAAAACAAAGAAATGAAAGACTGAAAAGATGCTGACTCAATGATGGGACAGTACATATGTACTGTCTGCCATGTCAATAGCATATGTGAGTTCTTTTGTTGTTGTTGTTGGTCATGGGGCTTGAACTCTGGGCCTGGGTACTGTCCCCGAAGTCTTCAGCTCAAGCCTGAGCCACAGTGCCACTTCTGGATCTTTCTGTTTATGTGGTACTGAGGAATGAACCCAGGGCTTCATGCATGCTAGGCAAGCACTCTACCACTGAGCCACCTTCCCAGCCTACATGTGAGTTCTTGGTCACATTTACTTAACCAAAAAAAAAAAAAAAAATCAACCTTGGTGAAAAGCAGAAGTTTTGTTTCTCAGTCAGAAGTTACCAGGTCTGGTACTGTGTTAAAGTATACATGGGATATAATTACCAAACCAGCCATTGCTACAATATCTACCTAACATGTATGGAAGTACAAAAGTTATCCTCTAGTAGTATTTACCCAGTTGCTTTGGGTTGATCAAAGGCCAAAAAAGCTGGTGGTAAGGAGGATGGGGGAGGGGGGTTGGTGGTGGTGCCTAAATTCTGGTCCTGGGTACTGTCCCTCAGCTCTTCAGCTCAAGGCTAGCACTCTACCACTTGAACCACAGTGCCATTTCTGGCTTTTTCTGCTTATGTGGTACTGAGGAATGGAACCCAGGGCCTCACACTTGCAAAGCAAGCACTGTACCATTGAGCCACCTTCCCAGCCCCTCCCGTCCCTGTATGTTTTTTTTAGTTTTTTTTTTTTTTTCAGGAGGCTGAAGCAGAAGGATCTTGAGTTTGAGGCCAGGGTGGGTAAAAATAGTGAAAAACAAATGATGATGATGATGATGATGTTTTGGGCTGTACTTAAGTCAGGTACTCTACTGCTGAGCCATTGGCCTCTAGTCGTGTGTGTGTGTGTGTGTGTGTGTAATCATTGTTCCTGAGTCTTTTCAATCAAGGCTGGCACTCTATCACTGAAGCCACAGCTCCATTTCATGCTCATTGGTGGTTAATTGGAGATAAGAGTCTCACAAACTTTCCTGCCTGGGCTGGATTTGAACTTGTCAGATCTCAGTCTTTAACTAGGATTTCAGGTGTGAGCCATCAGTTCCCAGCCTCATGTTGAGATAGGGTTTTACTTCCTGCCTGGGTATCCTCCAAGACTGTGATCCACCTATTTTAGTCTGAGATAGAAACTTTTGGACTTTTCTGCCAGGGCTTGCCTGAAACTTCAGTCCTTCTGGTCTCAGACTCCATGTAGCTAAGATGACAGATGTATGTCAATGAGGTCAAAAATAGGGAGGGATCTTCAGAATTTTCTGCACAAGCTAGCGGCAAATGGCAATTCTCCTAATTTTAGTCTATCCTTCTACATGGTGCTGGACCTTAATTTAAAAAAAAATAATGCTACCAAAAAATTTTTGGAGATAAAGAAGGGATCTATGAAACTCCTAACAGTCACTGGTACTTTCAAAACAACAATACATGTCACAAAATAGGCTAAAGTCATGACTCATCCTTCAAATTAACTTAACTAATGTTTGTTTGTTGAGTACCTTTCCATGTTATAGCAGTTTCAAAGAAACAAGAGTAGGCCCCTGGTTGTCAGAAGCTTAAAACATGGAAGCTTCTAAGAAATTGCTTTATGTCTACCTTACCCATGTTCTTTATACAGAGATGAAGCTATATTCTTTAAAATATTTTTTTAATTCCTTGTTTTTGAAAGACCTTAGCATTGATGGCTATGGCTTATCTTGCCAGTTAAGTATTACTGGGGCAGTACTTGAGTGAATTTTTCAAGTTGCCTGCAAGTGTTTAGGAAACCCAAAAAGAATGCACCACAGACAGAATGATGTGTTCACTTCCTAACTGAACTCAGGAAATTAACAGTGGCATATCAAATGAAGATTCATAAATTCAAATGCCACCATGGTTCCTTAGGCAGCTATAACTACCTTCAAATACTGTTCTTTCTCTGTTATTTGAAAAAATAATACAGACAAAACAATGGCAACAGTGCTGTCACTCCATAGTTTTTATATACATTTGCAATAGTAACTCTGAACCCACTTTCATTTATTGAAAATGGTGTATTTGTATTTTGTATTTATATCTTCCTGAATATCATGTCCTGAGTCTTAAGGGAGATTTATTTTGCAAAGTGTCAGGGAGGTATAAGTTACATACAGCAGATTGTTACTAATAAACTCCCATGGTAGTTATGCATTGAAGTGAAGCTTATTGTTGCAAACTGAAATTTATTGTTCATAGTGAAGGAAGGAAGATGAGAAATACAACTGTACAGAGGCTAGATGCTGGAATTCTCATCCTCACAGTGGAATCTAAAAGCCCTGGCTATCTACTCCAATGTGTACCAATGTCATCAGCTTCCGACATGAAACAACAACAGCAGTGTTCATTGTGGCTGTCTGTTCAAAGGAAGAACTGTTCTGACTATTGAATTCAAGGATTATTTTCTTGTGCTACCCCTGGGGTATGAATTGAGGGCTTGAGGCTATTCCTGAGATTTTTTTTTTTTTTACTCAAGGCTGGCACTCTACCACTTGAGGCACAGCTCCACTTCTGGCTTTTTGGTGGTCAATTGGAAATAAGAGTCTCATATACTTTGTTGTCCCAACTGGCTTCAAATCTCAATCTTCATATCTCAGCCTCCTGAGTAACTAGGACTATAGGCACAAGCCTGTAATCAAGTGCCTGGCTCCCCCACTTTTTTTTAAAGCAGTTGGAGAGCAGTGGTGGGAGCAGGGCAGAGATGGTTTGCAAGATAATTTTCTGTCAGAAACAATTTTTTTAAGCCAGTCCTGGGGTTTGAACTCTGGGCCTAGGCACTGTCCCAGAGGTTCTTTTTCTCAAGGCTAGCACTCTACCCCTTGAGTCATAGTGCCATTTTGGGATTTTTCTGTTTTATGTGGTACTGAGGAATCAAACCCAAGGCTTCATGCATGTTGGGCAAGCACTCTAACACTGAGCCACATTCCCAGCCCTGTCAGAAACAATGCTTAAGAGATCCAGCCACTAAATAGCTAATTCTGTGAAATATCTGAAAAGAGTTCTACTTTAAGAAGTTCCCTTTGGGAACCATTTCATTCATTCATTTGTTCAATTGCTCACTCATTCATTTATTATACTGGTATTTGGGCTTGAACTTAGCGTCTCATGATCTTGCTTTGTGTTTTTTCACTCAAGGCGGGTGCTCTACCCTTTAAGCCACATTTCCACATCTGGATTTTTGGTAGTTAACTGCAGATTAAGAGTCTCTCAAAGTTGTCTGCCTGGCCTGGCTTTGAACCACCTCAGATCTCAACCTCCCAAGAGGCTAAGTGGTGTAGGCATGAGCCACTGGCACCTGGCCAAAACATTTCCATCATTCCTAACTAACAGATCTCATCAGAGGACTGATTGCAATCAACCTCCTAGTTGCAATTTACTGAGACCTCTGGCTTTTCCCCTTTGTATAGATGGAAATTTATTCAAGGAACATCTAAGTTGATCTACATCAGCACCATGGGGTTTATTTCTATCAAACACTGACAATGCTCCCCATAGTACAGAGCTAAATAATTCTGCTCATTTTGAAAAGAAGGGGAAAATACTCCATACTATAAATGGGCACTTAGAAGGCTTGCTTTGCACACACTTGGAAATAAATGTGGTATATTGTACTTTGTGCTTAGTTCTGCCTGAAAAAAATTCAACTTTTTTTAAGAAAATTTTTTATTGAGATTAAGTGATTACATCAATTTCACAAATTTCACAGTATTGTAAAATAGTGATACTTAAAGTCACAAACACATTTTAACCTTCACAAGGCAAATTGTCATTATCATGGTTTATAATGTTTGTGAATTCTATGAACTTTGACAACTATTTCTTTCACATCGGGTGGTATGTACATTTCTTTCCTTTTGCTTAGTGTAAGCTGCTCCATCTTTCCCTCTCATTCCCTCCCTCCAATCGCTGCCCTTGAGTTGCTTAGTTCATTTTTATCAATGTCCAGTGAAAAGATAAAACTTTTGAAAATGGCTTTGCACTTTATGCTCAAAGGAAACTGGTAACTTGCATACTGTTTCATGTTGCAAACAATCATATTCTTATCCATCTGTTTTTTGAATTCAAACTTTTGTTTTGAAACTTTTTTCGAAACTTTTAGTTTTCTTTCTAAAGAGGACAAGATCCTTTCATGTTGTGTATTAAAAAGGTTATCTTTTTAGTAAAACTGAGCAGGCTCATGTGCTTCCCAAAAGTAATTATTTAGAGTAGCTGGAGCTCACTGTTGCTTTTATTCCTGCAGACCACACATTTGCTAAGATGAAATATGATGAGGAAGAACTCAATCACACCCCTCCCAGTAACCAAAGGACATGATGAAGTGAGCCGGCCTCTTCCCCGGGGCCTGTGGCCCTGTTCCATGCAGTTCCAGGGCCTGGTTTATGTGTCTTGGGCCTGTCAGATACGCAGAACACCTCATGAATAAGGAGTCATTCCTTGTTTTAATCTATCCTACATGGCAGCACAGAGGTCTTACCACAAATCCCACCTGGTAACAAGACAGCTATCTGCAATTCCAAAGGCAACAGGGTTCAAAAACCTGGCCAGTTTTCCATATCAATATACAGGGCTATTAAGTAGAAAGGTACAGGATTTGGAATCCACACGAATGGAGGTTTGAATATTAATTCCATCATTTGTTGGCTCTGGACCTGAGCAAACTATTCAACTGGTCCAAGAGGAATCTAGAAAATGATCCCAACAAGGAAATCTTATTCCCATTTTCTGCTTGAGGAGCAGGAAATTATTCTTCCTTTTCCTCCCACATGTCCCTACTCTCATAAGTTATAAGTATTGCCTATAATATGAGTATTATCCATAAGGCAATTACTTAAAATTGATTTAAAAGATACTTGATAAATGTCAGTAATTATTACTATTTTTGTTGTTGCTACTACCCATAATTATTAAACCCCTCTGTGGGAGACAACTGGCACTCTGCTCAGTAAGTTCAAGGCTTTTGATATTCAAATTACTTATAAATATCCTGTTGCCATTGTGCCTAAATAAAACAGGGAACAAGCAAAGCCAGGTGCAGATGGCTCATGCCTGTAATCCTATCTGTTCAGAAGGCTGAGTGCTCAAGTTTGAAGTTCAAAGCCTACCAAGGCAGGATTTGTCTCAGGTTTGTCTGTCCAGGCTGACTTTGAACCCCAATCTTCATTTCTCAGCCTCTTGAATAGATAGGATTACAGGGGTGAGCCACCAGTGCCTGGTGGCTTGTCATTTCTTTACACCTGTGGTCAGGACACTTGCTTCCCTGGTGTGTCCACTGGTCTTCCCCCAACGCTAAAGAGTGAAAATCAGCTTTCTGGGTAGAATGTTCATGCTTTATAGTATTCTAAGGATATAGAATCCTTTCTCCCTTATCATCATCTGTTGCTGCCAAGGAAATATCTGTATTTTTTCATATTACCTGACCCATACTCAATAAATATTTGCTGATTGAGGAACCTGATGGTTAGCAAGAAGTTGGATTAGTCTCCTCACTGCAACTGGGAACTATAGGGGGCTAGATCTTAAACAGATGTCACCTTCACAAATGGGCTTTGGCACTACACTGAAATGTGCACACTCCCATTGTCTTTACTAGATAGGTGATTCAAATTAAAATCTTCACAGTCAGCAACTAGAAGACCAGATTAAAGTCACTGATGCAAAGTCAAGAAATTTTAGAACCAAAGAGACCTTAAAGTGTATTTCAAGTAACACTGTGTTTTATGGGTTAGAAAAACTGCAGCAGAGAAAGGACGGGTGACTTGCAATACAAAAACCAGATTGACAGGTAGCAGGCCTGGAGCCCAACATTCCAACGTATGCAGTACAGATAAACCCATTCATTTCCATGTAAGTAGGATGCATAAACCCAGTCCACTAACTGAAATGGGGAAATGACCAGGTAAGAGAGAAAGAGAAACTTACAGCTTCTTCCAAGTGCTGCTGATCCGGATTATCATTTGGTGTGTGCCGCAAGATTTCTCGAAGAAGCAGAGGGTATTTTACCAGACGACTTCTTGGAATATCAAGGAAATTCCAGAGATCTAGCTTGCGGCTAAAGGGGGATTCTAAACATCGCTGAAGGAAATCCTGGACTCTGTGATCTTGCTTTTTGTGGTCCAGTAGGGCTTTTGCGGCCACTTGATTACTACAATAGCTGTCATAGGAGCTGAGACAGGGCAGCTAAAAAGGATGCATAAAAAGAAGGTTGGGAGTTAAAATAGTTGAGCTCTGAAGCTACAAGCTACCATTTACTCACTGGGACTAAACAAATACCAAACCAGTCTCCAGACTTGGCCAACTCTCCTTTATCTGTATGGCCGAAGAAAATAACATCATTGAATCCTCAAAACAGAAGAAATGCACAGGTTCTTAAGGCCCTGGCTGGCTTCCATTAAACGAGTTGTACAATTATTTTCTTTAATGTTAAGACCCTTATCACAATTTGATTTTTCTGACAATCCAAGTTGGAAATGAAGTGGAATTTTTACAGGCATCTATAGTACAAAATTTTCCCAATCCTTTCAAAGACATCCAGAAAGACAAAAGCTACCTTTTCTGTTCTGTCTTTATTTGTTAATACTGAGGTTTGAACTCAAGAGCCTCACATTTACTACACATGAGCCATACTCCTAGCCAGCCTGACATCTGTCTGTCCACCTACCCACTCACCTACCTATTGTTTACGATAAGATTTCTTTTCTTCACCTTTGTGTATGTGTGTGCGCGCGTGCGCACATGCGTGCGCGTGTGTGCACGTGTAAGGCCTAGGCACTATTCTTGAGCTTCTTTTGTTCAAGAGTAGTGCTCTACCACTTGACCCACAGCTCCACTTCTATTTTTTATTTTTATTTATTTTCAGTAACTTATTGGATAAAAGTAAGAATCTTACAGACTTTCCTGCCCAGACTGGCATTGAATCTCAGTCCTCAGATCTCAGTCTCCTGAGTAGCCAGAATTATAGGCATGAGCCATTGGTACCTAATAGAATTTCTTTTCTTCTAAAAAAAATTATTCCTATGAAACTCATGTAGAAGATTTAGTGGCACACATACCACACATGAAGCAGTGGGTCAGACTTTACAGTGCAGCCCCTAGTATGGCTCAGTGCCAGCACCTCTACATTAGTTATGATTACCTAATTCTAAGGCTTGTCAATTATAATGGGCCTTAAGAAGTTAAATCAGGGGCTGGGAAGGTGGCTCAATGGCAGAGTGCTTGCCTTGCATGCATGAGGCCCTGGGTTCAATTCCTCAGCACCACATAAGCAGAAAAAGCCAGAAGTGGCGCCTGTGGCTGAAGTGGTAGAGCGCTAGCCTTGAGCTGAAGAGCTGAAGGACAGCGCACAGGCCCAGAGTTCAGGCCCCATGACTGGCAAAAAAAAAAAAAAGTTAAAGCAAAAATGTTAAAAATTAAAAATAGGAATCATATATTAAAATCTTTCAAATTAGTTCTGACAGGCTAGCAAAGATTTGGGGCTACATCTTATGGTTTATATCACATTATAATGCAAAAGAACAATTTAGGCTTAAAGAGTTGGAAAAATGTTAACTCCTCTGATTTCATCCCATTGAAACATTGTTTCTCTGACATGTCCCATCAGTCATAAATTGTATAAATACCACATTGAAGTCTCAAGGAAAGAGCTTCTCATCCCTTTTTCTACTTCACCATCTTAATGGCTCCTGGGGCTCAGCATCCTAACTTGAAGCTAGCAATTGCAATAACATGAAGCTAGTGGTCTAGCTGTACTTCTTCTTCTCCTCTGCATCAATTAGGAAGTGGTGTTCACCATATCACCTCCTCTGTAGAGGATTCAATGCCAAACTGACAAGGGCATGTCTCTTTTTTTCTACATCCTCAGTACTTGTGGATGCTATAAAACACTTTGTGTTTCTGGTGAACTAATAGATAAATGTTCAACAGATTACAAGATGATGTAATATTTGATGGTTTGGGAACATTGCTTAGAAATAAAGCAGTATCATTTGAAAGCTTACATATTCTCCTGCTTTTTCTACACTTCATATTGAAGTGACTAAAACAAAAAAATATTACTGGAGAAGTAGTGTTTAAAAGGTTCACTAGTAAGCTTAATATTCCTTTCATGTGTGTATAAATAAGTAAATACATTTATATAAATAAAATAAATAAAAACATAAAATATATATTTATACATAAATATACAAAAAGATATACATACAATATATAAAGTATATGTTATAGATTATAGTATATATGTAATATATATAGCATTATATATTATATAATATATATTACTTTGATTTGTGTTAAAAAGAGTTTCAGAAATCATTCCTTCACTTTTTATTTGAAAGTAATAACTGGAAAACATGCACAAACACACAAACACACACATATACACAGCACACACACCAGATGTGGTGCTTGTAATTAAGCTTTTCAAAGTTAATTAAAAAGCACCTCTGGCTCTTTTAAATTCATTTCCACTTCCTTGCCTTTTAAAAGACCTGGAAACAACCAATTTCATTACGGAGAAACAACTTAGCAGAACCCATCAGATGTAAACTAACAAGGAACTCAGGTCACACTGCTATCCAATGGCCCATTAGTCTCTCTGATCCTGCCACCTGCTACCGTGGCAACAAAGTGAAGCTCTGTTTCTGTGTTCACACTTGACAGGGTGCTCATTTCCTGGCATGCCTGGTTCAGGCTATCTAGTCCAGCTAGAGAAGATCACACCTGATCTTAATTAGACACAGGAAGACTGTATCTGTCTTAGTTGCCAAATACAACAACATTTACTTATTTAAAATTTAGTAGTGATGAAGGCAGATACTGGTATTGGAAAATCCGGTTGAAAGATAAAATTGAACAGCTGTTTATAACATCTTTCTCCATTTACAGCATCTTTCCCCACTTATAAAATGCCTATATTAATGTCTTCCTCACCTAGAATATAGAACATGTAGCTTGGAGTTTGCTCCTGGTTATGAATCAATAACAACCAGCTATTATTATGATTGTTCCTGTGACAGTTAATTGAAGAACTTGTGGTTTAGGGAAGCAAAGCTACTCACTCAGCTGGAGCTTGAGGCCTGTTCATATACCTTCCCCCCAAAACTCTGAAGTACTTGATTATCTCTATGAACAGATTATCAAGACTTTGTAAGAAAAGTTCTCACTGTTTCAAAAGAATTTCTAACCCTCTAACTTTGTGAAAACTGACATAAAAATCTATTTTTTCTGCTCCCATAGACTCTGCTTCTCTCTTTGAATTAAAATTTAATTAGAGCCCAAATTACCATGAGAACTTGCTACTTTGGAGCACATACAAATTATTTTATTACTATGATCAGTCACTTTGGCAGTTGTTTCTTGTGATGGGAAAGGCTTGCTCAAACAAAGTGATCTGTTAGGAAAGGGGACACTGATCCTCAGTAACCAGGGAGGTTTCCTGAAAAAAAGTAGCCACTCTGTTTAAGGTCTTAAATGCAAAAGTAACTGATTCATTCTAAGGTCAAAAGGACCAGCCTGCAAGGCCACATTTGGATAGTCACTTATTTAAAAGGTTTTTTGTTTTGTTTTGTTTTTTATTCTTTTCCTTTCGGGGGGAAATAAATCAAATTTTCTTGGGTTTAATGGGCTCTGACTTGTCTCATTCAAACTCCACGAAGTTTGTTGACTTTGTTCTGTTAAAAAGTCTAGAACTCAAACATATTTACCCCTTGGTTTACAGTTCCCACTCACAAGAACACATCTGCAGTTAGAAGAGGGAAAACATTTACCAGCTCATCAGGCCTGATAAATAAGGACCATTTCTCATGGAGTTTGGCAACAGTTGTTTAATTTTAGGCTAAGTCCCCATGTACTATCACAGGCCCAGATGGCAATGTGCTGTAGAGTCATACTTCCCTTGGGTATGTACAGAAAAGGACTGCAAAAATGTCCTTAGCCCAAACTAACTTCCTAACAAAAGTAACAAATATGTATAAAGAAGTTCTTAACTGGGAAAATTCCTACAATCTGTGCTCCTGACATAAATTCACAATTTGTATATGATGTTTAAGATAGACATGTAGTATATATTCTAGTGTTACTGTCTCTTCAAAAACAGAGCAGTCATCCTTGTTCAATGCATAATGGCCTGCCCCTTTGCTATTCATCAAAGCATTCTACAAACTATGGAAGTTTAAGGAATAGTTCTTCTCATTGAGCCCTTTCTAACTCCAGTTGGTTGGCTCTCTTTAGAGAAATTTCTTTGTGGACTAAAGAAAGTGAAACATCTACTGTGACATAATATCATGAAAGTCAAGAGTATAAGATGAATGATCTATCCTGAAATATTAAGGCCCCTTTTCTAAATTATTCATCTTAGAACATTACTTGTCTTTCAGATACTCTTTGGATATTCCAACCTCAGTGCTAAAATTGGCTCATGAATTAAAAAGCTAGCCAAGACATTAAATTCTGCAAGATTTTAGATTAAAGCATTAGTTGAGAAGCACAAGGTAAGAGACCAAGATTTAAAACTTTATGCATATCTTTTTGGCACTAGTGGGGACTAAAAAGTTTTAGGAGAATTAAGAGTACAACACAGGTAGAGAGAGGGAAATTGCAAGGTGGCAGTAGGACTCATAACCTCCTCAACACTCTTCAAACAAGGAAATAATTCTTGTTTTGTTTTTGGCTCTTCCGACCTATTTTTCTGGAATAGTAGGTAGAATCAAGAGATCTAATGTTGTCTGGAAGAAGTCATTAAGGTAATCTACTTTCATAACCTGCTTCATGACAAAAATCACTTGGAACTGGGGTGGGACATTCTTAAAAGGAAACAGATCCATATAAAATTAAACAAATGAACAACCAACCATATTATGTACCCAATAGATAAGAATTCAGTCTGAAGACTATAAATGTAGAAGCCTTGACATAAGCTCATAGCTTATTTCTTTATGAAATAAGGAAAGGAATAAGTCACTTTGGGATAAGTCATCATAGGCCAATTCTCCTATGAAGCTCCTACATATCATATATGTGCTAAATATTAGCAACATGTACCTTTTACCCTGCTTATGAAGTTTTGACTATCGGTCTTTTTTTTCTCTTTTGGTTGGTCATGGGGCTTGAACTCAGAGCCTGGGCACTCTCCCTGAGATTTGACACTCAAGGTTAGTGCTCTACCACTCTGAGCTACAGCACCACTCCCAGTTTTCTGGTGGTAAATTGGAGATCAGAGTCTCATGGACTTTCCTGCCTGGGCTGGATATGAACTGCAATCCTCAGATTTTAGCCTTAAAAAAAGTATCTAGGATTACAGGCATGAGTCACTGGTGGTGCCTGGCTCTGTAAGTCTTTTTAATAACATATCTTTATTAAAAAGTCTTTTTAATAAAACTTTTTGTGAATGATGGATAAGAATATGGCAATCAATTTTTACTGGGTCAAAAATGGTAATATTCTAACAGTTGGTCCGAATCCAAATATTATCTAGTTTAATTTTATTTGATAAAAATAAGTAATAATTTCATGTGCACTTACTTATTTTACCTTGAAAGTGACATGTTGTCTTTAAATATAGTAAATTTGCATGAAGAAAAAACTTCATGCTTTAGAGAGCTAAAGCTTATATGCTTAAGAATATTTTACTAGGAATTTGGTTTTTTAATGTGAAACCAATATTTGCTAATAAGAAAAGCCTCGCTACAATGAAACATTATTATTAAAATCTGTCTTAAGTATGAGGCTCTGAGTTCAATCCCAAATACTAAAAACAAAGCAAAACAATCAAATCGATCTTCATCCAAGATTAGAGAACTTTTCTTACCCAGCCTACGAGGATGGGACCAACATGTTCAGTCGAGCCATCAGGCTTTCGAACATCTCGAAGCTGACTAAGGAGCTCTGGCAAAAAAACAAACAGAAGGCTTATTTTGAACAGGGCTAGAAGTAGGTTCTGGGTTATTCACATAATTGCTGACTTACTATAATATAACTCAAATAAGGCTGCAGTCATGACTCATTCTGGGAACAAAATTATACCTTCATGTAGAGGAATCAGAGAGTCCAGTGTTCCAAAAATTTGATTCAACTCCTGTTCTGTCATAATGGAGAGTTTCAGCATGGGGTCATGATAGGCCTATACAAGGACAAGATATAAACACAAATGTTGAAAATCAGAGGAGCTCAGTTCTTCACTAGGAGGCACTATGTGAGTGATACACACCATGGCTCTCCTACATGACTTTCTCATATCACTGTGGAAATAGAGAAGTGTGGCTGCAAGAGAGAATCCAGTTCCACCTTCAGCCTTCTGTGGCTGTTGATAAAACATAGTAGCATTTTTTGTTTTGTTTTTCTCTTCAAAGTTTCCTCCTATACCCCCAGGATAGCACACTTCTATAAAGCAGGACATAGTAGGTATAGAGATTTAATTATTATGTTTTCAAAATAACAAGGTCCTATAGCTTGAAAAAAGTCCTTTATTCAAAATTAGGCTTTTGCAGTACATCCATATTTAAAGAAAAAGTGATTTGTCACTCATTACTATTGAGAAGAAAACAAATCCTCTGCCAGTCCCATAAACTCTTACTAAAAGTAATTAAACAACAAGAGTTTGTAGAATTCTATGACAGAATATAAAGACAGAGCTGGGTGCCAGTGGCTTACACCTGTAATCCTAGCTACTTAGGAGCGTGAGATCTGAAGACCATGGTTCAAAACCAGCCTGGGCTGGAAAGTCTGTCTGTTATCTCTAATTAACCACCAGAAAACTGGAAGTGGCTCAAAGTGGTAGAGCCTAGTCTTGAGCAAAAGAGCTCAGGGGTAGCACCCAGGTTGTGAGTTCAAGCCCTATGACCACCAACAGCAAAAAGAATATAAAGGCTGGCAATGTGGCTTAGTGGTAGAGCGCTTGCCTAGCATGCATGAAGCCCTGGGCTCAATTTCTCAGTACCACAGAAAGTGATGCTGTGGTTCAAGTGGTAGAGTGTTAGTCTTGAGCAAAAGAAGCCCAGGGATAGTGCCCAGGCCCTGAGTTCAAACCCCAAGACTGGCAAAAAAATAAAATATATATATATATAGAGAGAGAGAAAGAGAAAGAGAAACAGAGAGAGAGAGAGAGAGAGAGGGAGAGAGAGAGAGAGAGAGACAGAGATATCATAGTTCTTGCCCTCACTTGGCTTTATAAAGTGAATTGGGAAGATTGTTCTTAACATATACAAATTTAAATATATGCTTAATAAACACTTCAAGAAGACCCACAGGAGAAATGCCATGTAACAGAAAAAATAATCAAGTTCTTAGCACTCTGGATGGTCGGAAAGCTAAAGCTAGCGTATGTAAGAGAAGTTCTGAAGGTAGAAGGAGAAGAAATAAATACTGAAGAAGAATTGAGGGCTGAGGCATGGATCAGCAGTAAATCGGCTACCTAGCAAGCATAAGGCCTTGAGTTTAAATACCAGTACAAAGAGAGAGAGAAGAGGAAAGAAAGGGGAGGGAAGAGAGAACAAACTACATTGTGACCAGTGCCTGGAAGATGGGAGACCGGATGACTGAACAGAGAAGGCAGGACCCGTACGACAGAGAATGCTGTGAAGCATCTTGGGAAATCTTTTTTCCCCCTCAGTGTTTGGAATTGAACTCAGGACCTTGTACATGGTAGGCAAGAGCTCTACCACTGAGCTACAACAGAAGCATGCATATGCAGAAACTTTTTTTTTTGTCACTATTAGGGCTTGAACTCAAGGAGGACCTCATCATGTTTACTTGGCTTACTTGCCTATGGCTTATTCTTTACCACTTGAGCAACAAAAGATGAAGTCTCACAGACTTTTCTGCTAGGGTAATTTGAACCATCAGCCTACTGAATCGTTAGGATTATAGGTGTGAGCCAGCAGTGTCTGCCTGAATTGGGGAATCTTGATACAAGAAGAGGATGTTGGACATATGACCAGAACGTTGACTTTGGTCTTCTCTGATTTTTTCCTCCTTCAGTCCTACCTAAAACTTGGGCTTCTTGGGTTGTATTTCAAGAAAACTCAAATTGTCATCTCAGGAATACTAGAAGTTGGCTTCATATTAGCAGAATGTTGGACTGAGGATTGTTTAAAGAAGGAAAATATCTGTTCATCCTTGTGATTCACTTAAGAGCCCCATGAATATCAGATCAAAGAATCTAGATTGAGCTTTTGAACTATAAGATTGTACTTCAGATTCTTCCTATTCTGACTGGAATGCAAAGGTTTTTGGAGGCAGGTTTGTTGTCAAGATATAAATGATGTAAGGTGTGTGTTTCCTTCTCCTCCTACAATAAGAAACAATTTTCCAGATGAGGCTATGTACAGCTCAGTAAAAAATCATATGCTTATTAGCATGCTCTAGGTTTGATTGCCAGCACTAATAAAACCAAAAAACAAGCCAGGCACCAGTGGCTTATTCCTGTAATCCTAGGACTCAGGAGGCTAGAGAGGCTGAGCATCAGAGATTGAAGCCAATCCTGGCAGAAAAGACCATGAGACTTTTATCTCCAATTAAGCACCAAAAAAAAAAAGAGGCAAAAGTGTAGCTGTGGCTCAAGTTGTAAAGCTCTAGCCTCGAGAGAAGAAAAATTAAAAAAAAAAAAAAAACACCTCAGATAGAGTCCAGGTCCTGAGTTCACAAATAACACCAACAAAAAAACCTAAAGCATAAAAATGAAACTAAAAAACAAACCATAAAATGAATTTTCCTATAAAATACTCTAAGTTATGATAGTGTGCAGTTGCTTACTTCACACTTCATCCACTTTCAAGATGCAAATGCCTTTATTTCAAATACTCATTCCTTCCTGTGGTCAAAGAAATTCTGCATGTAAGACTTTTTTTTTTGTCGGTCTTGGGGCTTGAACTCTGGGCCTGGGCGCTGTCCCTTAGCTCTTCAGCTCAAGGCTAGTGCTCTACCACTTAAGCTACAGTACCACTTCTGGTTTTCTGGTGGTTTATCAGAGATAAGAGTTTCACAGACTTTCCTTCCTCAGCTGGCTTTGAACCTCGATCCTCAGCTTCCTCAGTAGCTAGGATTACAGGCGTGAGCCACTGGCGTCGGGGCTTGCATGTAAGACTTTTAGGACAATGCCTTTTTCTGGGTAGTTTATTGGAGATAAAGATTCTCAATGACTTTTGTGCCCAGGCTGGCTTCAATCTGTGATCTTCAGATCTCAGCCTCCTGAGTAGCTAGGATTACATAAAGCTCTGCCTCCAGGGCACTCTGATTTACGCTGATGTGTGCTTTGAGAAATACACAAGGGTGACCCCTACCTACAGTGTCAGGTGTAGAAGCTACTCTGTCCTCTTGCTTCTATCACTTCCACACTGCTTGCTCTGTAGCTACTGGTTCTTCACATTATCTGAGGGCCTGTCTTGGTCAGGAAGAGTGTGTTCTAACATGATGAAACCACTCAGAGGAAACGATAGGAGGTGACTCCCAGGACAGGCTGGGGTTAACTTTACCTTTTTTGCTAATTTCAAGTCCTCTATCAAGTCTTCTTCTCCTTGAGAAAGCTCAAAGATCGCCTGCATGAAAAGATAAAATCTATTTACTGAACTCTTCCTCAAATTCAAACAAACAGTGCTGATTGTAGCACTTCAAGCTGTAAATCTGCTTAACCTAAAAAACATACCCCCAAAGTTAATTAGGCTAAACCAAGGCCAGGGAATGGTGACTCAAGCCTGTAATCCTATGTCCTGAAGAGGCTGAGATCTGAGAACCATAGTTCAAAGCCAGCCTGGGAAGAAAGGTTTAAGAGACTCTTTTTTTTTTTTTTTGGCCGGTTGTGGGGCTTGAACTCTGGATGCTGTCCCTCAGCTCTTCAGCTCAAGGCGAGCGCTCTACCACTTGAACCACAGCACCACTTCCGGTTTTCTAGTGGTTTATTGGAGATAAGAGTTTCACGAACTTTCCTGCCCGAGCTGGCTTTGAACCTCGATCCTCAGATCTCAGCCTCCTGAATAGCTAGGATTACAGGCGTGAGCCACCAGCGCCGGCTGAGAGACTCTCATCTCCAACTAACTAGCAAATAAACAGAAATGGAGATATGGCTCAAGTAGTAGAGTGCCAGCCTTGAGCAAAATAACTAAGCCCTGGCCCTGAGTTTAAACACGTGTATGTGTGTGCGTACACAGACACAGACACACACATAATCTAAACCAAATGCATCTAGTAGCTAAAACTTGCAAGGAAAAAATGCAAATTTTCTGTATAATGAGCTTCTCTGTTGAAGAAAGAGTTTCCACTGGTTTCCCACTCAGCAAGTCAGTTATTTACATTACAGAACTTTGATGAAGCCAAATAAGTGACAAGTATTTTAGGTATCACCAATGATCAAGATGAACTATACTCATAATATGACTTATGGAATTGAGACCCCTTAGTACAACTACTAAAATAATAGTAATAAAAGGATAATTAAAAAAATTACAGCTCGATGGCGCTGAGAAGGTGGCTCAGTGGTAGAGCGCTTGCCTTGCATGCCTGAGGCCCTGGGTTCGATTCCTCAGCACCACATAAGCAAAAAGAAAAAAGCTGGAAGTGGCGCTGAGGCTCAAGTGGTAGAGTGCTAGCCTTGAGCTGAAGAGCCTAGAGGTCAGGCCCCACGACTGGACCCCAAAAAAAACAAAAACAAAAACAACAACAAAAAAAGCAATTACAGCTCGAGCCATGGATTCTACATCTTTGTTGCAAGTGGCAATCAGAAGATATGTTTCAGAGCCTGTCCTCAGCAAGGTACTCAGCTGTTATTAACTGGGCCTCCATAGTTTGCATTCTTCTATTCAACAGAGGATGACTCTCAGCAGAAAGCTGCATTCTCAATGTGCTCTTGTTCTGAGGCCAGGACAACAGCAAGAATCCAACATTTTGTTACTCTAAATAGAATTGGGTGATGTTAATTCATTCTACAGTACTTCTTAGTCTCACAGGTATAATAAATAAGTGACAGGAGCTCACTGTGTATGAGAGTGCATAAATGGACCATTTCTAATTTGGTTCTATTAAGCCATCATCATTTAAAGAACTATGATGCACAGAACACTCTGTGCATTTGGGAATGCTTTGCAAATGGTGTCTCATTGAAGGACTACAAGTCAGATCATTTCCTGACAGTACGGGGGTGTGTGTGTGGGGGGGGTGGAGGGGTGGTGATCTTACATACTAAAAGCATTAAGTTCTGCAGTGAGTATTAGCTGGATGTCCTCTAATTCAATTCTGTCAAACTCTCTACCTTGGAGACAGCAGCAGATCTCATAAGGAAGAGCTCAGTCCCCTTTTCAGATACCAACTGAAAGCCCAGATTACTTTATCTGCATATCTTATCAACTGGCTATAAATCAGGGTCCCCATTGCCTCTTCTAATTAGGTCTCATTAATGTGTTAGAGCAGCTACAGAACTTAGGGCAGAAGTTATGTATGCTGGTTCATTTACAAGGGATATGGATGAACACCAGGCAAGAAGATGGGCAGGAAAAGAACTGCGGAGAGATGTGGAGTCCTATGCTCTCCAGGTACACAATACTCTGGAACCTACAGGTGTCCAGCTATCTGAAGCGCTGAACTTCCTCCTTCTGATAGAGACTTCATAATCACATGACTGAGTCAATCATTGGTCATTTGTTGCTAATTTAATCTTTAGCCCCTCTCCCTTTGCCAGAGGTAAGGGCTGGGGCTCAAAGTCTGACCCCCTCTAATCCTGCCTCTGTCTCATTGGTGACCAGTCCACACCTGAAACTATCATGGGCTGACAGCCATTAGTCAGCATCTTATCATCCAAAATATCCTTTTGGAGATATGAAGATGTATGCTGGGAAATAGAGATAAGTAGCAAATGAATGTCAAAATATCATATTAACCGACAGATTATTGGTCATGCATTACATTACAAACTGCTACTACTGCAAGAGCATGACCAGTTAGACCATGCCCTCAGCTCTTTTTTTTTCTGTTCTTGAGCCTCTTTGTGCAAAAGGCTAGTACTCTACCACTTTAGCCACAGTGCCACTTCTGGCTTTTTCTGAGTAGTTTATTGGAGATAAGATTCTCATGGACTTTTCTGACGAGGCTGGCTTCAAACTGTGAGCCTCAAATCTTAGCCTCCGGTGTTGCTAGGATTACAGGCATGACCCACCAATGCCCAGCTCTCAGCTCTTTTTGTATTAGTTATTTTTTGGATAGGGGCTTACATTTTTGCCAGGGGCCTCAAACAGCGATCTTCCCATTTATACTTCCTGTGTAGCTTGCGTGACACATGTTCAGCTTTTTTTTAAAGATGAGATCTTGCTAACATATACTACCATTGCCTGATCATGTATTATTTTTAAAGGCTTCATTTATTCTTTGTTGAATAGATAATACACATATACAGTATGCAATTATGGTGCAACAATGGGCACATGGTAAAATCTTTCCCCTTTACCTTCTTCTTTTAGCTCCCCCCCCCCTGCCTTAGAAGGCAACAAACTTTACTGCTAGTTCTTTGGGCAACCTTCCAGAAACAATTCCTGGTTCTATAAGCAAGTACATTCATTTTCATATACATGGTAGCATACTCTGTGTCTTATTTTTACCTTGCTTCACTTAGCCAAACACACTAATGAACAGTCTCTCAAGGGTTTCTATAGTTGAATAGTGTCTCATTTATTTAAGACTCTTTCTAAATTGGTACTATTATAAAAATTACTGCGATTACTGCAGTAAGCAGCCTTACACCTGTATCTTCTTGCTTGGGTACAAATAGCCTGGAAATAAAATTCCTAGAAGAAATTGGGAATTGGTGGCTTTATGCCTGTAATTGTAGTTACTCAGAAGATTGAGACTGAGAACTTCAATTAGAAGCCAGCCCAGGGAGAACAATTTGAGAGCTTTAAGCTCCAAGCTTCAATCTTCAATCTCCAGCAAAATGGTGGACTGGAGGTGTGGCTCAAGTAGTAAAGTACCATCCATGAGCAAATATGCAAAAGTACAAGGCCCCGAGTTCAAGCCCTGGCATTAATGGACACATTCCTAGAAGAATTTTTTGCCTGGTCAAAGAATCTGGAAAGTTTTGAAATGTTCTCCTTGCTAATGTCATGTTCTCAATGAAGCATCCACATTCTAAGAGGGTCACTAGAGGAGGCCAGGACACAAGTCCTCTCTTAAAGGTTATATCATAACTACTTAGGGCTGTGGCTACAGAAAACTTCCAAGGAATGAAATGAACTATGTTCCATAGAGAAGAAATTTTCCTTTACCAAGGTGAACAGAAGTTCCTTCAACTGGATATTTTATAAAATATTCTAAAATTATAATATTTTAATATTATATTATTATAGCTATTATATATCATTATTTACATTGTGTTATACATGTTATATATATGATAATACAATAATTATACATTTTCTAAAATTACATCAAATTACAAAAATGGCTGTTTTTGTGAAGTTCAGAATTTCTGTCTAGACACTTGGTTTTAACATCTCTATAAACTCAGATTTTTCGCCTCAATTCCTTTTGAGGGTGCTGGGGTTTGAACTCAGGGCCTCATTTTTACCATCTGAGCCTCATCTTAGTTCTTGCATCTGTTTCTTTTTTTTTTGGGGTCTGGTCGTGGGGCCTGAACTCTGGGCCTGGGCGCTATCCCTCAGTTCTTCAGCTCAAGGCTAGCACTCTACCACTTGAGCCACAGCACCACTTCCGGCTTTTTTCTTTTTGCTTATGTGGTGCTGAGGAATCGAACCCAGGGCCTCATGCATTGTAAGGCAAGCGCTCTACCACTGAGCCACCTTCCCAGCCCGTGTTTCTTTTTATAGTAGAGGCTAACCCACCCAGCAGGACTTGTCCTCCATAGAGGCAATGCAAAACAGATCTGAAGAGGAATGGCAAGTCCTCTGCCTGGCCTGGCCCACAAGGGAACTCTGTTGCTGGTCCATCTGTGCCAGTGTCTTGAGCCCCTACCATACCTCCTGACGCTTGATTTCCTTGGACGTAAGCATCTGGTTGACACACACGTCGAAGGTCTCGCTCCATAGCTTGCTATCTCTCCGCTTCGTGCTTGAAGAGGTGGCATTTCGGGACCAGGGTCGGGGGGCGAGGATGTCAGAGCGGCTCTCACTGCGGAAGCTAATGGATCGCTGAACAATGAGGAAAACAAGCCATAATGGACAGGGTCAGTAGCAGGTCTGGGTGGATCCTCTGAAGTTTCCTGTAGGTCTGTCAGAACATAAATCGTATATTTACAAGAAAGAGAGCCAGGGCCACAAGGCCTTTGGGAAGTGAGGCATTGTCTTGTGCCTACGTGCTGAGGAAACCTGGACAGGGAGACCCTGTCACACATGTGCTGGGCTGGGAGCATCCGCTGTGTGATCCAGACTCCCAGTGTACTACAGAAGCAGAGTATGGCACAAGCTCGCCCTTCTTTCTAGTGGACATCTTCCTTTTTCCATAGGACAAGGGACAATAGTGGTAGGTGGTCATCAAAACAAAACAAGCTAGCACACTTGTTCTCTTTCTAAGAGCAGGATTCCATTATCTTTGGCATTCCCTTGTTTATACTTTAGGTGGCTGGCTTTTCCAACCCTGACCAATAAGACAATTACCTTATCCTTGTCAGAGGAGGTGTTATTTCCCCCAAATTTGCTTCAGGATTTATGAGAGAAATGAGAAGTCTATTCCTCTAAGATTGTAAGTACAGGAGATTTACAATAGAACCTCTTGTTGCAACTCTCTCTTGTCACACAGAAGAACCTGTGTGTCATAGGAGAGAAGAAATGGACACATAAAGAAGGCCAGAATGACTGAGTGGTAAAGGGAAGAAGGGAACAAATGTTATAAAACTTTACTGTTTCAGCCTCTGGATCCTACTGTGCCTGAAGCCAGGTGGAGCTACTCTTAGACATTTGGTTACATGGGCTAATACATTCTTCTGTTTCTAGTTATTTCAGCTGAGGTTCTGTAAACTAAGAAAGTCCCAACTACTATTCATTCCAAATACCATCTTGGCAGCAAATGATGTCTACCCCTGATAACCCTTCTTTTTTTTCCAAAGAGGCTCTTATTGACTATGGTGGTATAACACCTGCAGTCTACCCCTTGGCTGAGAGGAGCACAGTATTCCTCATAAGAAATACAAAGCAAGGTAAATGTACCTTCATAGTCTTTACCCTACAAGGCTTTGACACATTCACTGGAAACTGTCAAAGCATAGAGGTATTACTGTGCTCATACTCTCACTTAATAAGTGTTTCCTGTGGCCAGCAATGTTATATTCTAACTTCTTACTTTGGCATACAAGGCCTTTTGTGATCTGATCAAAAGCTAGACATTTAGAATAACATCTACCATTCAAGACAAGCTGAGTTTACATGTGATGTTCTAATGTAGTTACCAATTATTTTGATACTCAACAATGACATTCAATAATGTAGGGGTTTCTTTTAAAGAGATAAGGTCTCTTATCTCTTTAAACTGGTCCCAGATTCTTGGGCTCAACTGATCTTCATTCTTCAGCCTCATAAATGGCTAAGACTATAGGTGTGCACTATCTTGCCTAGCTCTTAAAGAGTATTTTTTAAGAGAACGCACTCAAGTTGGATATTGGTGGCTAACACTTATAATCTTAGTTACTCAAGAGGCTGAGATGTAAGGATCATAGTTCAAAGTCAACACTGGCAGGAAAATCTTGCAGCTCTTATCTCCAATTAACCAATAAAAAGCCAGAAGTGGAGGTGTGGCTCAAGTGGTACAGTGCCAGCTCTGAGTAAAAAAGCCAAGTAAAAGTTGGAGACCCTGGATTCAAGCACTGGTGCTGGTGCTAGTGCGTGCATGCATGCATACACACACACACACACACACACACACACACACACACACACACACAGAATTCAGTCAATATAGGAGCATTAAGTTATAATTACCTATCTGACAATATTATCTAGCCAGAAAGACAATTCTGAGCAAATTTAACAGTTAAAAATCCATGGTAGTTAAAATTACATGCTAGCTATTCAGGAGGCTAAAAACTGAGGATTATGATTGGAAGCCAGCTTGGCAGGAAAGTGAGATTCTTATCTACAATTAAGCACCAAAAACCAGAAGTGGTAGAGTGCTAGCTTCGAACAAAGTTCAGGGACAGTGCCCAGGCCCCAAATTCAAACCCCAGAACCAGCACTAAACAAATAAATAAATAAGTAGATGCATACTATATAATTTTGAAAAGAATGTTCATGAGTCAAGACATAAATAAAATGCTACAAAATTCTCTTGCTTTAGTCCCATGGATGTTATAGGTAATTTCTAGCCTACAGTATGTTTTTTGTTTTTTTTTTATCATCCAAGAAAAACAAATACGTGAAAAACACAAGAAATTTGCAAGGGGCCTTGATGTTCCCAGAGCCTTCTGGAAGCAGGAAGTTGGCTGTTTGCAAGTAGCAACAGGAGTTCCTCCAGCTGGCACAGGCTTCTGTTACTCCCAGGCTGGTTAAAGGGCCAGCTTTGTCTAGAGATCAAGAAAGTACCTACAACCAAATACACGGCTCACTAATGGCATCTCATGAATCCTACAATCTCTCAACACAGTCCCTTATAAACAGTAACTACACTAAGTGGCTGCAGACTGCCTGCACTCAGAATCAATTAGCCACAGCCACTGAAAGGTCAAAGGAGCACAGTGAGTCATCAAGTAACCCCCTTGTGGTCCTGCTAGCAGCTGGGGTAGAAATTAAGGAACACAAAGAAAAACACAACAGAGAATTCAAAATGAAACACTCTTTCCACTTTCACTTGAAAGAATCACCCCCTCTCATTCCATTTTTCAGTCTTGACCAACTTCAGACTCCCCCCCACAAATTGAAGTAATTTACTCCAGCTTCAAATTCCATGTATTCCCAAAGTATATAATATTAAGTACAAATCCCATCTTTTTTTTTTCCCCACAAGCCACTTCCTAGAAGGGCCACTGTTCATGTAAGTTTGTTATAGATCTTTGCAAATACTTTCTATGCATTCACAGAAAACAGAATGTCTTCTCTTTTTACTCAACAATATCTTTTCATGTTTCTTTTCCATAGTATGGAGTCAACATCCTAAGGGCTGGGTGAACTGGGTGGATTTAATTAACTCCCAACTGATGGATATTAAGATTTTTCAAGCATCTGGCTATTACAAAAAAGTGTCAAAGTGAACATTCTTTGTGTGTTTTATACTGATATTTCTGTAAAGCAGATTTATGGAGTAAAATTCCTTAGCCTAAGAAGTATCAATATATTATTTTATGTATGTGATTATTTCTGCTGCTGGGGACTGAACCCAGGATTTCACATGTGCTAGGCAAGTTCCCGAGCAACTCTAGCACCACCATTATAATGTTGGCGTGTGCCAAAATGCCTTCATGCATGTACATCTCCCAGTGCATATTATCTACACTATCACTAACAAGGTAGTTATCAGTTGGGCAGGCAAAAACACTATACCTCAAATTCAGTCTCAGATTTTGAATGGAAGAAAGATCAAGCATATTTTTAGGCATTTATTGAGATATCTTTCAGAGCTGGAAAGCTTTGGTATAGTTTGGGGGAAATGAGAGAGGTGAACTAGGTGAAGTGAGCTCCATCACTAAGAATCCCCGATCCTTTTTTTTTTTTTTTCTGAGTGGGTTCAAGGTACTATGGAGGCTTTCAATGAAGGTCATCCTTAGGTGCTTAAGACCCAGCTCTCTTATTCTCCCTTCCATCCTGCAACATAAGAGTTTGCTTTTTAAAAAAAATGTATTATACCACTCCTGGGGCTTGAACTCTAAGGTCTGGGTGTTGTTCTTGAACTTTTGTGCTTAAGGCTAGCACTCTACCACTTGAACCACATTCCACTTCTGGCTTTTTATGGTTAACTGGAGATAAGAGTCTCACAGACTTGTCTGCCCTGGCTGGCTTTGAACCATAATCCTCACATCTCAGCCTCCTGAGAAGCTAGAATTACAGGCTGAGCCACTGGTGCCCAGCTTTACTCTAATTTTTACTAGTGAAGGAGCTGAGCCTTAGCAGCCTTAGCAGCTAGTGGGATTCAAAATCAGACTTATTTCTTTCTAAAACCTGAGCTCTTTCTACTATGGGGAACTGTACCTGCTGCTTCATGGAGTCATGTATTGTGACAAGACCTATCTGGACATAGAAATCTGGTTAAAGTAGAATGATGATTGGTCTTTTTTTTGGGAGGGGGGGTTCCAGTCATGGGGCCTGAACTCTGGGCTGGGCGCTGTCCCTCAGCTCTTCAGCTCAAGGCTAGTGCTCTACCACTTGAGCCACAGCGCCACTTCTGGCTTTTTTTCTTTTTGCTTATGTGGTGCTGAGGAATCGAACCCAGGGCCTCATGCATGCAAGGCAAGCGCTCTGCCACTGAGCCACCTTCCCAGCCCCTGATGATGATTGATCTTTGACCAGTCAAGCTTCAGATTTACACTTGTATTAGGCTGATTAAACCAAACACTTTTATTTTTTCTTACTCCACTCAGAAAGGGGAAGAAGGTTGAAAAGAAGAATAAAGAATGTTGGACAAGCATCCAGTCGTCAGCGGGGTGGGTTCATCCTGGGACAGCACCTCGACACGGGAAGTTGTTTACAACAGCACTGATTATGCACCACGAGCTACAACCCAAACTAGTTATCAATACAACCAGCATGATTAGATGAGAGAATTCTTTGCTTCTAGCTGCTATAAGAAAAACCTCCTCTTGAGAGGAGCCTCCCAACAGGACTGCTACTATCTGCTGCACCAGCTACCACACTCTTTTCTTCCTTTTTCTCCCCTTATACTATGTGTCCTATGGTCTCATTTATACAGTAGGTTTTTTTGGGGGGGGAAGTTTTTTTCATTCTGAGACAGCTTCTCACTATGTGGTCAGGCTGGCCTGAAACTCACAATCCTCCTGCCTTGGCCTTCCAAGTGCAAAGATTACAGGTGTACATGACAGTATCTGGTTGGACTGGTTTGCTCCTGACATGTCGGTTTGCTCCCAGTAGAAGGCAGGAATATCTATCTGTTCTGTTCACTGATAGAATTAACAGCCACTGGCACATTAGAGGGCCTCTTGGCTGGCCACAGTGAGGACAGCTTTAGAACTCTGCTATACCCAAAAGGTAAG